CGGGATTCGATCTGGTCACCTCGCATGACCCCCACACCGTAATCAGTGGGGAACTTCATCGCTAGGTAATAGGTGGACACTATCGCACGTAGAACGTGTGTGATAGGCCGACATGTGATCGCGTTGTAGGGGGATGGAGTCGCGACCACTAGAAAACTGTGCTCGAATAACACAACATTCGGCCACGTGCTTGCCTCCACTAGTATTGTGACCTGACCAAGGGGTTTGACTTCTTCTCCATTGAACCCTACCAAGGGTGCATCTGCTGGCTTCAGGTCGCTCCGCTATAACTATAGCTTATCAAAGGTCTCCTTGAAGAGGATATCCGTCGAGCTACCGAGTCCACCAGAATCCACTTCACTTCGAGCTGAGGTCGCTTTGGCGGGTTTTCACCTTCATTCTCCAACTCACGGACTGATGTCCTCCTTGTTTCTGATCTGCACCCCGCAATGATAGACCCGCCAGTGATCATATTGATCACGCCACGGACTGGTCTCTCCTCTATTAGCTGCCGATGTGGCTACTCGTTTTGCCTGCTAGTCTCGGGGGCGTTCCTTCTCTGTTCTCCCTAACGATCTCCCTACCGGTCTCCTTGCCCTCTCTCTTCTTGCAAGATGTAATTCTTTGGGTACCCGCAACGAATAAGCTCCTCGATCTTGTAGCGAAGATTCCTACAATTCTTCATGCTATGACCATGATCCTGGTGGAAGTGGCAGTAGACATTCGGGTTTCTTGTGGATGGGTCTTCCCTTAGCCTGGGTGGCCATTTGACGATGGAGGAGTCCTTGATAGCCATTAGGATTTATCCTCTCTTCGCGTTAGGGGGGGTGTAGTTAGTTCTTTCTTCTAGAGGGGTCTTGGAACGCCGACCTGACTTGTAGCCGCGCGAGGGGGACTTACTTCTCGAACGTGGGGATTTGCTTCTTTTCCTGCTCGGGGACTTACTTTTCTTTCTTTTTTGGTTATTGTTGCTTGTTCCTTTGTCTTCTCTCTTCCTCTTTTCACCCAGCAGATTGTCAATCTTCTAGTTGATTTCCTCTCCGGTGCCAATGAATTGATCAGCTAGTTTGAGGAACTCGGTGATTCTTTGGTTTGTTTGCTACCATGTGCTACTTGAACTCTCTGTGGGTGATCCCCTTCTTCGCTGCAATGAGGTGCACCACTGGATCGAGGTCTAGTATCTGCAGGCACGTCTCATTGAAGCGCTTGATATAACTTTTAATAGACTCTCCTTCCTTCTGCACCACGTTCAGAAGGCTCTCCTATGACTTCGGGCACTTCTTACTGGTAATGAAGTGCGCTGTGAATAGGTTGGCAAACTGAGCCCAACCCTTGATGGAGCCCGGTGTGAGGTTCTTATACCAGGTCCGAACTACTCCTCTGAATGTGGTGGAGAAGGCCACACACATGCAGGTTTCGTCAGCCCCAATGAGGTGCATCTGAGACTGGAAGGCACCCACGTGGTCATTAGGGTCGAACGACCCATCATACTTGTCTAGCATGAGAACCTTGAAATCCTTTGGCATCAGGGCCGCTAAGATCTCGGGTGACAAAGGGGATGACCGGCTCAGCAGAACAAGCATAGTTTTCGTTGCCACCAAGCTTACCTCTTCTATCTCTTTGGTCCACTCCATTGGATGGCTGAGCTTTGCTGGTGGATTGTTTCTGGCCGAAGAGCGGCGCGTTTTACGCCGTCGCCGCTGTTGCTTCTTTGCAGGTTCGACATTGGTGCTACTAGCCTTAGTCTGGTCTGGTACCTCGACACTGGCTCTCTCGCACTCCCAAACACTGTCGCTAGGTGGATTGGGGTTTCTTCTCGCTGACTCCTCTTGGGTGTGAAGCTTGTGTTGGTCATGGTGAGGCACGGAGGGGGCTTGCCTCGAGTCTGCATCTCGGGCTCCGATCTAATGATCTTCTCTCCGTGACCTGTTGTTCTTAGGCCGCGAATGTTGCGGTTGGTTACTCTTGTCAGGTTTGTTGACTTCAGGCCTGTCTCCCGGGTTCCCCCCTGAGAGATCGGGGGAGTGTGCTGCTTGTCTGTCTTGCCCCGTGGTGAAGTCTGGCTCTTGGGAGGTACTGGTACCGGCGATGTCCCCTCACCCCGACGGGGAGATCGGCGGACATCCTGGGTGGATCTGTGCGTGCTCCAACTTTGCCTCTGATGTTGAGTGGCGTGGCGAGGCAGAACCGGTTGCTGACTCGATTGCAATGGTGGAAATTGTTGCTGATACTGTTGGTAGAGAAAGTATTGCTACAACTGCTGGACCTATTGCATCTGGATCTGCATCGTCCAGACGCACTGAACCAGGTCATTAACTGGGAGTGCCCGACCCCAAGGGGAATCACGGAGGGATCTAAGAAGGTGGTGCCCACCTGGGGGAGCGGGACACTCACTTGCGGGATGGTCTACGGTACTGACAATGATGGGACCCCGGAAACTGTGAGGGAGAGTTGATTGCTGATCTTGCCTCCCGGTGACGTTCATGTCAATACCTTTCCTGGTGTTGCTGGAAGAGTCCATTAAGAGTAAGATAGAGGTTGGAATGACCTTTCGATCGAGTTCCCACAGTCTGCGCCAAATGATGGTGCACGATCTGGTGCTCCTAGCTGGAGGATGATCTGGGACTTGGCCACGTGGAGATCTAGTTCAGCTTGTAAAACAGTGGAACTCAGAGAACCCGTGGTGTCTAACTTGGCGAGGTCTTTCCGATGCTTAAGTTAGTATTGCGAGCTGAGAGTTGAATGATATGTGTATTAGAGAGTTTGAATGTAAAAATAATTGCACGTACCCAGGCCTTAGAGGGGTTGTTGCCCTTATATAGCTGAGCTGCCGTGGGTCTCACAAAACGGTTACAGAATCTTTGGCCTGAGTGGATGAGATCCGTTCCCGCTTTAATCGGGGAGTAACGTATCAGTCAATGAAATCTATCGCTTCCACCCGATCCGGGTGGGGGGAGGATGAGGCCTGCCATCACGCGGCGTGATCCCGTGGAGTTCGGAGTCTAGTGGGAGGGAGCTACCAATTTTATTCATTGGTTTTTTTTTCTTGCATATGTCTTTTCTTTGTTATTATTTCTTTGATTTTACTTTGTTGAGTAATTGGATGTACGGTTTATAATATGTGCTCTTTTGGTTGTTATATTCCGACCCAAGGCTCGTCTCACGTACGGCCATGACCGGTTGATGCTGAGACCCATTTCGCGTACGATTACGACCAATAGATGCCGAGAATCGTCCCACGTATGGTCATTACTAGTCGATGTCAACACTCGTTTCACACACGGCTATGGCAAACCGACCCGTCACCCGTCCCATGCACGGCAACAATTAGCCGGTGCCTATCCTGCGCATGGGTCCTGTGACATCTGTGAAGCACATGGCCATGGGGCATGATCACCTTGTACCTGTATAAGACACGGTACCTCGCCCTCGGCCGTCCATGACACTCCTAAGAGGCGGACTCAACTGCAAAGCAGTTGCCACCAAGACAACTAAGGGAAGCCCTCAGCAACCGAGGCCGATGCCTCTGCGCTTCTGAGGTAATTCTCTCTCCGACGAAGCCGAGGTCCTCGCATCACAAGCCATCCAGTGCCTAACAGTGATGATGTTGCACTCTCTTTGGCCAAGACGAATATGTAAGTGAGATAACAGAATTGGACGTGGATTGTGGTTATGTAGCTCGATTGATTGCGCTGGATGTGTTCGGATGCTCTCTTACATGGTTTGGCTTCAAGAAAGAACTTCAGATTTTGGGGATTTTCTGGCCACTCCTACGATGGCTCTTGTATAGATTCCTCTGTCTCCTTCCCTACTCTTGTGTTAAGAGAAGACATCTATTTATACGAAGGTTTGGGTTCATCTAGCATTGAAAATTGGTATTGAGAGATAAATGGTTATGGATAGAGTCTTTCTTAAGTTGGGAAAGGGAGTCTTAGAGGTTCACCTATAAAGAATGAACATGTAGATCTAGTTAAAAGTGTAATCCTAATTTATTTTGGATTAGGATAGAACTTGCAAGATAAGATAGCGCTCAAAAAGGGTGAGATGTTCTAATCCCATGGTATTATTCTAGGGGATCCCAATTTGAATGTTACGATTGATCGGAAATGGTTTAAGTTTGTGTCTCAAGAAGGGGTAAATGGTCTTGGATTTAGGTGATCTTGGTATCACCGGATTTGGAATTTTGGGTTCTATGTATCTATTGTATTGGATTTTTATCTTAATGTGAGATAAGGTTTTGGATCAAAATGATCCTGATCGAATGATTAGAATCAGGTCCATCATCAGGTCTTTATGATAAGGGGTAAATAGTGTTAGATTTGGATGATTTTGGTATTGTCAGATTTGGAGTTTTAGGATTAGTTCATGCTCTAGATTGTAAAATGGAGGGGTGAACAGTGCCGAGTTTGGGCAATCTTGGTATCATTCGATTTGGAATTTGAATCTCTATGTGTTTGTTGGTTTAATTAGGTTAATTTGGTGGTCCACAAAAGTCTTAAAAAAAATATCCCTACATCGATTGAGAGACTGAAACATTGCTTGAAGATCAAAATGCTATAGAGAGATAATAAAGAATAAAGTGCACAAAAATGGGGTATCTATACATTACTATGAAATTTTTTTCTTCTGATTTTTCTCAATTTTATTCAAACAAGAACCTAATTACAATTCAAGACACACACAACAACAAAGGGTTAAAACGTTCTTAAGGCAAAATGAGTAAGATGGCAAAACACATGTCCATTGTTTCAAGCCAAAGAGCATGCCTCTCGGCATTCTCAATCGTCTTATCTGCCAACAAATTAATAATCATCTAATTATAATCCATAATTATGGTTAACATTCATGCACGGTCCCATGGAACTAAGGAAAAATGGTACTTAATTGGATTTTGTTTATTAATTATTAGATAGGATGAGAGGCTCTCAATGGTCACGTGACCACCACTGACTGAGTACAAACACATCCATTCGTTCACGATAAATCACAACCTTTCCGTTCATTCTCTGCCTTAGTATCTGCTTTCTCTATTTAACCAACCAAACAGACAACCAGAGAATCAAGATAATATGGCACTCAGAATGTGGGCTTCTTCAACAGCCAATGCACTTAGAGTTTCCTGCGCTGCCAAGTCCTCCCTTTCTCCAGCATTTTGTCTCTCTAGATGCTTCTCTACTGGTACTCTTCTCTTTCTCTCTCTCTCTCTCTCTCCTCCCTTAATCTACAGAAAAGAATTACAGATGAGCTTTTGCTTTTAATTTGTTAACTAAAATCATTATTTTCATCAAATGGGTCTCCTTGGAATATCTCAATTTCTTTTTGGTTTGCTTGTTTCTTCTGATGATTTTCTTTTTTTTTTTATGTTGGATTAGTTTCAATTTCCAACACAGACATCCATCTCAGTTAATTAATTTCTTTGCTTTAATTCGATCATTTCATGCAGTCTTGGATGGATTAAAATATGCTTCCTCACATGAATGGGTAAAGCATGAAGGCGCAGTGGCAACAATTGGCATAACTGACCATGCTCAGGTTGTCATTCCCTCAACAGCCAACCCAACTGAAATTTAAAGTTTAATTCTCTTCAGAATCAACCACAGTTATTAGATCCTGCTATAAGCTTCATTCACCTTTCTCTTGTATAGATTTTCTCTTTTTCTTTTCTTCTGTATTTTGCTGTTATTTCAAGACTGTTCAGTGCTAATTCAAAACTAAAGGAACGGAGTTCGGTTTGTTCTTTGTCGAAGAAACATGGCCACAAGTGAGTTTATCTAGTGGAGAATTATATTCTGTTCTTGAGGTCCATGGTTCTCAATGTTATCCCAACTCCATACAGAGTATATGAAATGGCATACACCAACTCATAGCTTTGACAATCTGATTATTGGGCTTAGATCGACCATCCAGAAATTATGGGCCACATGTTGGGTAATGGAGGTGGGGACCATCTGGAATGCTGGACCTCTGGTGGTCCATCAAATCACTGGTTTGTTTTTCATTTGGTGCTGGTCCCCAAAGTTCC